TCAGGGAGAGTTTACTGTTTAGCTGCCTCACCCACAAAACAATGAGCCTCTGACTTTGGAATTCTTAACCTACTAGAGATGCAGCACTGATCTGACTCAGGGTGACAATGCAGCAAACTGACTCACCCAATTAGTCCTCACAGCCTAGCAACTGTAACTCTGCCTTTGATATGTCTGAAGAACTTTACAATATGCTGCAGCATATTTTTGAATCTGAAAACTTTCTCAAGATTTTGGTGGAAGGGCTGAATTGTTACTCATTTCTCAAACTGAAGACAGAAGAGGAGATCTCAATCTCAATGTAAGACCTCAATGTGTGGAAGACCACATTTTCAAAAACATTTCATTGCCATTAAAGCTAGCATCAGTTCCGCTATTGCGAGTGAGTTAGCTAGAAGCTAACCAATGCTGGAGTAGCCAGTCAACATAGGACCACCTGAATACTGAATGGGGTATTTCACACACTGTTTAAAACTGTTTAAAACTATTTGTCTTGGCAGTAATACAAAATACAAACAAACATAAATACAGTGAAACATAAGAATGTTTTCTTTTAATCATGAATATGCTGGTTAGAATAAACCAGCTAGAAGAACACAAGTTTGAACTCCAGTCGTTGTATGTATTTGTTAAATTGCATCAACACAGGATCTGCTAATGTTACGATGTCAAACTTGTAACAATTTTTGGTGCTATGTAGAACCATTGTCCATTGGTCTAAAGAACCATTTCATCATGCAAAGAATGCTTTTTTTTGAGTGTTCATCGTTCTATATAGAACCATTGTCTTCACCAAAAAACACTTGCAGAACCATCTTGTTAAAGAGTGTAGCGTTCACTGCTATTAAAAGAGGCACTGCCTTCACAAACGTCATTGTGCTTTATTTTACAGCTGTTGTTGGCCACAGCCACGCTGTACATAAGCGATGCTTTTTTTCTCTCTAACAACTCGTTCTCTACCCAGATCACATCTCTTCCTCTCTCTCTCCACCCTGAGGGCAGTTCCTAGTCCCCCTACCCCTTGCTATGCTGTACTAATGATATGCACATGCTCTGTAGGACCGTTCAAGGGGTAGGACAAATTACTGTCAGAACTGCATATGACCGTTTATTACGCGCATGTTTTCAAAAAGTTATTTTTGACCAGTCGTGTGAGAGACAAGGGCAGAGAGGCGAGCAGGGGATTACTGAACTATCTAGATGGTTGAGCTGCTCTATGCAGCTACATTTTTGTTCATCTTTGCATCTGGCCTGACTGTGTGGGCCACCTGACCGACCAGGCTCTTGGGAAATCTCCTTGGCCTTCTGATGGGCAGTCCAGACCAGGACAATAAATAAGAAAATTTGCAAATCAAACAAAGAAGCTGCTGATGTTCTCAGAACAATGGGTTTTCTGCCCCAGAGCCCAGACCTCAACATCACTGAATGTGTTTGGGATTACTTGAATGGTGAGAAGCAGAAAATTCAACCATCTTTTAAGACTGAACTTTGGAGAAGATTTGACTTTTGTTCTGGAATTCTGAGCTATCAATTTAAAAGGCCCATCTCACTTCCTCACCTTTTCAAAATAAAAGACTTTATTTTGACATAGTGTATAAACACTGATAAAGTCTGAAATTGTACCTTTCATGCCCCAATGTATGCACTCCACATATGAAAACTTAGCTGCAAAAACAGTCTGTTTTGAATGTGTTGTTTTTTTTGGTCATGAAAACCAACACATTTACATATATCTGCCCTTTTCAGCCTACAGCGGTTTAGCCCCGCCCGTTTACACTTAAGTTAAAGAGTGTTTCAGCCGAGAGCACTTTTTGAATGAGCCACAGTACAAGGCAGCATATATATGAACACATATGAGTATCAAAGGGAGAGTAACAAAAACAGCCTAGTGGCAGCCTAGTGGGTAAAGAGAGGTAAGAAAGTGGTCACATAAATTGAATTTGACTGTTTTTGGTACGTAAACACACACAAACATTTAACAGGGAAAAAAATAAAATACAAGAAAAGTGTAGGATGTGGACCCTTTAAGTAAATGGTTGGGTGCAGATTCCAGTATTATAGTAGATGGATTTGAATTTGAATAACCGCTGGGCAGACAAACTCACAGAAAAAGAAAATCCTGCACATATATGAAATATAATGTAGTGAAAGAATTAGGCACTGTTACAGTCAAAGTGAATATCATTATCTGATTTAGCCCCAGTGTTGGACATACTCCAGACTGTTTCTGTAAGGCGACCAGCCTTCATTCATTCATTCATTCATTAAATGTAGCATTGCATAATCTATCCTTAGCAAACACTATAATTCATTTACACTTCACTTCCAGTAGGTGGCAGAGTTGAGCTATTTCGTGATTTAAATGAATTAAAACTGTTAACAAACATGCTTTTCAGTTTTCTAATGTTCGTAAAATAAATCTGGCTGACCACTGTAGCTGTGTGAAATACTGTTTAAGAAACAGACTGAACATCTCACTAAGGTTTAATTATAGCCTGTGAGATGCATTTTTCTCAATAAAGTCATAATCAGTGGTTGTAGCCCTGCAATATTGTAAAACAAGTTGTTTTCTTAGGATCCTGACTCTGAATGCAAGAACAAACAATCCATGAGATGAAAAACAACACTATAAGGCTCTAAATGAGTCGGCTAGGTTTTTATTATTTCAGTTTGAAAAAGGCCCTCCTGTTGCGCCTTATGATGGGGAACTTGCCAAATGAAGCATTTAAATGATGCTCTCTTCAAGAATCAGTGGATATATGCAGCAACTCCGATGTGACTAAAAGCAGCTTTACAAATCCTGATTGTGGCTTTAACACTTCATTAAACAGAGAATAACTTAACAGGAATTATACATTTTGCTGCTGTTTTTAAGTTAGTGCTATTTATTCCAGGCCCAGGAGAAATAAGACTGATCTACTGATCTGTTTACCATATAGAGACTAAACAAAGTCATTTATGCTCATAATTTATTGTGTGACTCAAGCAAACCGACAGGCCCAATACTTACTCCGTGACTGTTGCTTCTGTTTTGCTGTTTAGTTTCATTATGTGGTTAAATGTCGCAATCAATTTGTTAATCCAAATCTTGCGATCAGAGAGGTTTCTAAAAGCTTACAGATGAACTGGCAATGCATGGCTCACTAATCCTGTTCCTGTGAATGTTTAAGCATTTTGCAGACACACACTGTTATGCTAGTGTGCAGTGAAATGGCACTGAATGTTTCCAGGCCTCACCGGACTATAGCACTGCCAAGGCATGAATCATTGTGAGAACGCACAATATTTATACATTTAATACTTTGGAATAGCAATTTCTTTTTGAATTTTAGCACTTGATATGTATAGAAGGCTAATTGTGTCCTGTAATAAAAACTATAGTGTTTTGCTTGTTTGTTTTAAAAGTTTTAGAGGTACATTCCTTAAAAAGATGGCTCTTCAACAGTTCCTTAGTAAAGATATTGTAGAACCATGTAGAACCATGAGTGCTCAAAGAACCATTTGCATGCTTAAACGGTTTGATGCATGGTAAAATCATTCTTTAGATTGATGGAGAATGTGTTGTATTTGGTTCTATATTGAACCTTTTTGAAAATGATTCTATTTGGCATCAAAAATGGATCTGCTGCTGTTACAATGTCAAGCTTGGGGACAATATAAGACTCCTTTTGTTGCTATATAGATGGTACTATATATGCAAATGGTTCTTCCATCATTCCACATTTTTTTTTCTTCAAAAATGCTGCAGAATTTAATTGTTGAGATGTAAGGCTTTTAGAGTAACATCATGTGAAATGGTTCATTATAGAGAAATTTGCCAACTATGTTTTTCTTTACATTGGTGGTGACAGGAACCAGGGGTAACAATGTCTACAACGCAAATACAGCGAGTTTATTAACTGTCTAAAATGATCGGTGAACCTACACGTTTTCTGACTTTTTATATGTAGTGTTGATAATGTTAATTTGAACGGATAATGGTAAATCTGAACAAATTTTCATTTGGCACTGTTTTTCCTTGTGACACCCTGCATGTACTTTTTGCCATTAATGGATTTTAGAAATCTGTTTCAGGCCAAAAGCTTGTCTCAAAATAATCTCAAAACTCTCAAGCATCAGGCAACATATTTGTAACCACTAATTGTGAGGCAGCTTTAGAGACAATAAATGTTTTGGACATCTGTTTCCTACAACCACCACTGTGAACAATTCTGACTCTGTAAGTTTCTCTACAACGCGCCATTTCACATCAAACCGCTCTGAATGACTTTGTTTTCATCTCAATGACTGAACTGTGCAGAAATTTTGAAAAATCAGTGGAATTTCCCTTTAAGTCCCACGCTCTGCTTACCAGCTTACATCTACATCCTTGGATTTGACTGTTCAGGAATGCTTGGGTCAAAATGGTGCATTTTTCTTCTTGATCCGAACCCATAAATGAACCGTAGATTTGTGTTTCATTATCTTATAGTTACGACTGGCGGTTCTAAGCACAGTAATGTGCCAAATCCAGCTGCAATTTGTTATTTGTCCAGTGCTGCAGAATGGACAGTGTAAAAAAAGTTTTCCTCAGGTTAAATTATCAGATTAAACAATTAGGACTGAATGATAAAAAAAATCTAGCTAATGGACTAATACTCTGGCCTTGATCATCTTTGAACAATGTGGAATAATTTTAGATTAGATACATAAATAAAGTAATATGATGTATTAAGAGTCATCATCATCATCATGTATTCAGGCATCATCAGGACACTTTACAAACTCTACAACATAGCGCACTGCAATGTCAGCACTTTCTAAAATACAAAGATAACGAGTACTGTAAATAGGCTGATAAAACTACAAAGATTTAGGAAATGCAATAAAATAACGTCCTTTAACACCTTAATTCCTCTGTATGATCTCCACGGCCGTCATCCTCTTGAAAGCATGCAGCTCTGTGGAGCGCTGCGGACACGCGCTTCCTGTGGGCGAGCACGTACTCGCGTGACGTCAGGACGCTGTCGAGCTCGAAAATGTTAGCGTATGTAGTTAAATCTGGAGCCGACGGAGGGATTTGCTAGACGGAAATAATATAATTTTTCCGTTTAGAAACGCCCGTATAAACCTAACGTTGCTGGAGTGCGGTTTTTAAACACCGAGCCTGGCTTTGGGTTTAGCGCCTGGGGACTCTCCTGAGAGAAAGTTGGTTCGATATTTGTGAGGAGTGATGTCGAATCCCGGGACTCGGAGGAACGGGTCAAGCATTAAAATCAGACTGACAGGTAAAAACTCAACGCTTACACGCCCTGAAATATAACGAGTAACAGTGTTTCTGTGATACCCCCTTTTGGCACTTGTCGATTTATGCAGGGGGGTTTAATTTTACTGGCTGTATTGTTGAGTAAGGTTTCTCGGCTCTTAATATGTGGAGCTCTAACATGCTCAGCTAGCCGCTAATGCGGGCTAGCAGGCAGGCTGAGTCCGGCAGAGACAGTTATGTATCCGCTAACGTTAGTGTTAGCTTAGCCACGGAGGAGTAATCAGTAGACTAACATTCGGTCGATGAGTAACATCACAAAAAGTCATTTGGCAGTTATGTAGTTTGCGGGTATATGTGAAGCATTTGGTTAGCTGTGTTAATTACTGTGGTGTGATAGTTTGTGAAATTGCCAGCATGTCTTGAAAAATGGTGTTTTAGCTCTTTTTAGCTAAGCTGGCTAGCAGTTAGGGTGAGCCCTTTGGCTTGAGTATTACACGTTATAAATGGTAAAGGTGAAAAACTGTTCATGTATATTTTATGATGCCCGTAATTTACTTGATTACTATGTTGGCTGTATATTAACTTGTCAATGCGCTCACAAAAGATCTATCCAAACTTTGTGTTCCTAAGTGATGGGTCTAGTGGAACACCGCTCGCGTTTTAATAGTGTTCATTAATCCAGTGTAACGCACAGTAAGGACATGACGGGGTTATTGCCAGATTAAGATCAGTGGAAGCTGTGGCTTCTGTTCTCTAGATTAGTTATAACAGTTTCCTCAAGGCCATATGAGCGTCTTATTGTCTTAGGGTTCGTCTTTTTTCCACAGAATCTTCCTTTTGTGTCTCTTTTATTTTAACTAAGTTTATCAGAAAAACAAGTTACTGAAAGACCAGAGTCTTAGTGATCCTTTTGAGTTAAAAACGAAGATATAGGGCCAATGGATGTTTCAAACTTTTTTGCCTGAGTTTTAAAGCTTTACTTGTCTAACTGCTTTTTGTAGTATTATCAGTGTCAGTGTGTTTTATTTTTAAACAAAATGATTTATTTGTTAATTATTTGCTTTGAAAAACAAAGTGTGTGCTTGAATTTCAATGAACACATGAGCCTTGTTTTGAAGCACAATTATTTTGTTGCCCAACATGAAGACCATTGTATTCACAGTGCTTGCGGAGTACAAAAGTGCTTTGTTTCATCGCTAACAGTAGCGGCCTGCATGCAGGTTTGAAGAAGATGGTGGCATCTTGGACATCTTAGTGTTCTGTTGTGTTAGAGTCTGCCCTCGTATTTTAAAGGAATTGTTCAGCGAAAAAATCTCATTTACCCAAATTTAACCCCAACATAGTCAGCTGGTGAAGATTTGTTTGGTATCCAAAGTTTGCTTTCTTTTTGAGCTTTGAACTAAAAGCTATGAGACTTATGTAGCTTAAAGGTAAATGAGGTATGTGTCTTTTTTGGGTGATGGACTTTTTTGGAGGCTGTATTAGCCTCATAGCTCCATTGCAGAACTTGATCAATTTCATGTAGAGGAACAATTATGTAAATTTGATTTTAAACCTTTCTTTTAATTTAAAACCATCCCAGTTTTGTGAAAGAGTGTGTTCCTCTGTGTTGGCGTTCTCATTTCGACTCATTTTAAGGGCAAATATTTAGTCAGTGTGTCTTAACAGGCCAATACCTGGTAGTTGTTTGTCCATGTTATGGCTTTACGCTGTCCCACAGTGTTGACATTTAACACCTTTTGCAACTTTTGTCTTCTACCTCCCCCTCACCTAACTTCAGCCTGGGAAATTGTGAATGTATTGTTCTGCTTTTCTTCATCAATGAGGGGTCATAGAAGGGGGGATAGACCACTGTAGATTGTGAAGCACAGTGCTGTGCCCAAGACACATTCCTTCACAAAAGGGGAGATGGTGGGAAGATTGAATTATAGTGTTTTCTGAATTCCTGTCCCTCACTGACACAGAGTGTCTGTTTTTTGATACTGTATGGGAATTCAATTTTACAGTTGCTGACTAGGATGGGAAAATGCAGTGCCTTCAAGTGCAGCAGTATTTTGGATAGGTGTTGCATGAAGAAAAAAGACATTTCCCCTGCTTTTGGAATCCTGGCTGAATTGCCTGAATTCCTTGGACTGTAGAGTGGATTTTATAGTTCTGTTTCTCTGCTGTGTTTATGTCAGCTTGGTTTTTCCAGCAACAGGAAGTGTCAGATTATTATTTTGCATTTATATGCATATTTTTACTGCCAGTCACACAGTGAACATAAATTGTTTGTGAAAGGTTTACTGAAATTAAGAAGAAACACGTCCAGGTCGGTAAACCTCGTTCACAAAAGAACACCTGAGTTGATTTGAACGGGATTGGTGGCCACAGCCTTTTCTGTGAAAACATGTGGCCCAGAGCCTGAGGCAGCTGTGAGTAATTTCATTACGACTAAAAAGGAAATCCTGAAAAAATCCCTCATTCTATTCAGTTTCCCTCCTTTTGCGAAACTCTTGTACTTCATTCCTGAAACAAACAGCCATGACAGCATTTTGGTGATCCGAGAGGTCAATATTGTGAAGTGCTGTTTCTCTCTTTATTGTTGATATTTCTTTGTAAAGGCATTTTCTTTTTCATGTTTTCTGCTGCGCCCTGGAGTGGGTTTCAGCCCTGGGGATTGGGGATTAATGGGGCGGTTTCACAGTTATTGTTGTGTTAATGTACAAGATGGCCTGGATGCAGCTATGCGAGAATGTAAAGCCATAGTTACCAAAACATTCTTAAGTTCTTAAATATTCCTCTCTCTCTCTCTCTCTCTCTCTCTCTCTCTCTCTCTCTCTCTCTCTCTGTCTCTTCCCCCACCTCAGACTCACACACACAACAAGGAAGTACAGTAAGCTCTTAATCACTCAAACTTGAGAGGGATAAAGCACTGTGGCTTGCTTGTCACTGCTAAACAGCTGTGTTTACCTTAATGTGCTAGCCAGATGCGGGCGTCTGTGACCTAGACCTATAAAGTTGCCACAACAGTTAGAAGCTGTTTTTCAACCCTCTGATTAATGACACATGGGCGGTCACAAACAGTATGTTTTCAGAAATTATATTGGGTGTATAGAATCACTTTAAATGCACATTTTTCTGGATAACTGCTATCAGTCAAGTTATTTACGTTAGTCATTTGTCACAAAAAGTGGCAACAAAGTCTGGTTCATTTTTTCTGTATAAAGACTAGGACAGTTAATCAAACTAAGGCACTCTTAAATTGAAACTAATGCTGACGTATCACACTTGTTTGTTGTGGCCTACTAAATATAGTCTTATGTTTGATGAGAAAGGGAAGAAAGGGTGACTAACCATGTGGCATCCACATGTTATGTGTGTGTATGTTAATAATTATCACGCTCTGTAGACTATCTTCTTTTTAAAAGGTAAATGGGATTGGACTGTTGTTTGGAATGTTTGCAGGGCACTCGGAGTGCCAAGAAGTGTTAAATCTGACCTGTGCCTTCAGTTTTTGGGCAGTTTTGCAAGAGGAATTTGCCTGCATTGAATTCATCACCTTAACATTAACCACCTGTCTTGAGCACAGTCCTGAATTGATGAGTGCAATCGATTGTCAGTACCCGATTTTGTTGTCCGTTTGCCCTCTTGAGTATCTCTTCTCATCTCTAGGCCTACTCATTTTCAGTTTCTTTGATAGGATGTTTGAACCTGTTTTAAAACCTCTCCTTCAGTGCTGTCTGAGGTGTCTCAAAACAGACTTCTACGCCTCAGCAGTCTGACTCACCCTGACAATGTTGGAACGGTAAACATTTCGGCCACAAATGGTCGTAAATAATTTCCCAGGTTGACCTGTTAAATGGTCTGCTTGAAGCCATGGGCTGTTTTTATGGTAGATGCTATGAATAATTTATAAAACCTTTGATTTTCACATATGCCACCAGGGATGATTGGGGCAGTAATGGAAAAATAGCCCTTCAGAGCTGTTTCCACACCACATTGCCAGGTTGGTTGGTTCAGTTTTGGAACTTGTTGCTGAATGCTGGGCAAACCGGCAATTAAACTTGCATTAGTATTTTTAGGCAGTTTTTTTTCAGTTGTTTTTGTTTTGGCTGATTACGCTAAAATTTTACTGACCATCTCATCTATAATTTGTCTTTTTGTTCTTTGGGTCTGTATTACAGTGTTAAAGGCATAGGTTGTTGTGATCCTTTGTTATTGCATGTGTGTGTTTGCCTTTTGTGGACTGATCCAGGCTCAGATTAAGCTTAGTATGAAAAGCTGTGAAATGACAAAGGCAAGGCATGTGCCAGGTTCCAGGAAGGAACACAGCAACTAGGTAAGTGGTGGTAAGAAATAGGCTTACTGTGCCTGTGAGGCTGTTTTAGCACGGAAGGGTGGAGGGCTGGGGAATCCTGCTTATTCAGTAAGGAGCAAAGCACGAGTCTACTCTAAACCCCGTCAGTGCTCTCATCACATGCGGCCTGGTTGCCTCCGTTTCTCTCTGTCCCGTTCTCTGTTGCTCATTCAGTCGCTCGCCCCATCCCACACACGGATAGGTCAGGTTCTAGGGAGCGCGTTCATGTTCATGACTGTGTAGGCATTCAGAGCATGCGGCCCCTCTGACATTCCTCTGTGTGATGTTTAGTCCAGCTGGGGGTGGGTCGTGGGGTTGCTGTTAATTATGCAGTCCTCAGTGACTGTCTGCTGCACCACGCTCCGTAAACTGACACTATTGATCAGACCTAGGCTGTTACCCAGCCTGTGTAAATAGATGCTTCTTTGGATTTGGACAACAGGAGGTTTCGGAGGCGATACAGGAGGTATGGATAGTAAATGTATCGATTAAGAAGTGTGGCGAAAAGTGGTTGGTCGTCTGTTCAGCGCAATGTGAATTATCAGTCCTATCCTTTAACAGATGATATGCATTTTAAGACTATTGCCAACTGTTCCCAACTGTGCCCGTCCACAAGACAATATTGAACTAGTGAAATATGCTCACATATGGGCACAGTTCTCTGTAGGTACATGGGTTAAAGT